CCCCAAAACCCCAAAACCCCAAAACCCCAAAACCCCAAAACCCCAGAGGATTGGTGAGTTCGGAGAAGAATAAATTAAAATTATATAAATTTTAAACATGAAGAAGGTATGGAAGAGGGGTTTTGGCATTGGAGTTACCATTTTTTGTAGAATAATCAGTCTTTAAAGCGGCCAACCCAGAAGTATCATACCTCTCTTTCACCAGATTTGGTGAGTCAACAGGCTGAGTCTGATTCAGCAGCGAAAGTTGATTTTGATTGGTATAAATTTGAAAATAGAATAAGGTAATATACTGAAGAATTTATTATTTCTTCGAGATTTTTGGATTAAGTAGAAGACTAACGTCCTTTTAAGATATTTTCAATCTTTTTTGAACTGAAATTTGGTTAGTGATCTTATATCTCTTAAAAGAGAATTAATTTTCTTATTTCATGAATAACTGTGGAGAATCATCCAATTTAAAATTAAGATCGATATCTTAACCAATTGATTTTATTTCCTCTGATAACTAATCTTAAAATAATTGATATTTTGGACAGTTGTAATTCTATCTTCAAATTCTTTTGATAAAAATGAGCTAATTAGAACTATCATATTCCTAGTTATTTAAAACTTCCTTAGACAATACTTCAGCTTAAATAATCATTGAAGAGCTAAAAGCTACAAAAATATTTCTCAATTTGAAATACAAAGAAACATAAGAATTATAGGAAAGTTATCAGTCAATCGATCCAGCCTATTTGGGAAGAAATGGGAGGATTCTTGAAAAAGATTGACATTGTTAAAGCTAGTAACAAGGAAATGAGAAACAAGCAAGTTGATCTAAGTACAAGGATTGATCTGTTAAGAGTAACTTTTAAATGACCTTCAGGAGAACATCAACCAAATCAGGCAGCAGAAAGATCAGGAAAATGAACTTACTGAAAGTAAGTTTCTGTGTGAAGTTTTAGAGAAAATAATTGAAGAAAAGAAGACTCAAGACAGGATAATGAATAATGTAAGGGTGAAATAACCATAGATTCTTGAGCTCCAAGTTATCAAAGAGAGAATGGCAAATTTTCATGCAGAATTAAATTTTGTCAAGAAAACTCAGAAAAATGCAGAGAAGGCTAATGAAGAATGACAAAAATTCTTGTCAACTCTTAAGTGGGATATCATGGAATCAGTTATTGAAGTCAAAGATGATCTTAGTAAATAAAATAACGTACTGAAGGTACTTGAATTCTAACATTAAATAGGAAAGATATCGATCAAAACTATCAGATAATAAATACTCAGAAGTCTTTAATGAATGCTTCAAAAGGTACTATTACCATAACACCCTAGATTTACTCCAAAAATACGACTTAACAATAACCGAGATCAACTACAAAATCAGTAGGTCTCTTCTAACAGTACAGAGCAGCTTGATAAATAAATACACTGATTTAAAAGCTGCAAATACTCCAAAGTCCTTTTTATAAGCACTTTGAACACCTTAAACTCAGAATTACAGCTTTTAAAATCTCTTCAACACAGTAGCCAGCCTCTGCTGCCTGATATGAGGATTAAGGATATCTATAAGTACACTGGGCCCATGCTTAGCTGCTCTAATATAGATACTGAGTTTGTGAGAGATGAAATCAAGAAACAAGAAATGCAACAGAGAAAAGTGCTGCTAGATTATTTGAAAGGCATATTACGTACAGGTAGTTTAAGAGGAGGAAGCTCGTTTAAATCAAAGCAAAGCATCAATTTTAAAAATAAGTAATAGTTGTTAATCATACTTAGAGAAAATAAACTTCGAAAATTAAAAAGCACATTCAGTGCTCAAGATACTGTTAAAGAAGATAGAAAATATTTTTCGCAAAACAGCTACCTTGGAGATGAATTTGAAAATACAAAAAATCAGTATGATCAATTTGAGGTGTCTACTGTAAAGAAAATGAAAAAGACAACTCCTAAAATAAATGAAAAGCATGAATATATCAAAAGTAATAACAATCTTCTGATCATTTAGGAGAAACTGCAATGTCAAGGACTCCAATTAATACTTCTAAAAAATTTATTTTCCCTGTTGTTGAACAACTTGTAAGTCTTTCTATTAACACCAGGACCCTGCATCTCAAAAATCAATAAAATCAGACCCAGATAAATTAAACGAGATTTCTCAAACAGTCGAAAAATTCTTAGGCGAGAATACAGGATCTATTACTTCTGTTGACATGACTGAAGAGTATCTCCCTCCTCACCCATAGACTCGACGCCAGAATCGGTCAAGCCTTAACTTCCAAAATATCTGACCTTGAACCTCGTCTAATCAAACTTGAAGAGATGGTCGAACGCACTTGGGATGTCTACGAAGACGTATTACTAATCTCACTTAAAAATATAGATGATTGCGCTAGAGAAGAGACTCTCTGAGAAAGCACAGATTTATGACAAGGTGTTTGATCGGCTTCAAGAGGGTGCTAAGGGTGATTAGACAGGTTTTATATGTAGAGATGGATATGAAGGTGCAAGAGATAGACCAGAGAGTGAGTATGGTAGGTGCATAGGAGTGAGGTTTAGGTCAAGGATACAAGTGAAGGCAATCGTAAGTAGCTATTTTGGGAGTTTTAGACAAGAAGTTAACAGCAATGGTGGGGAGATTAGGTAAGGAAGTGCAGGAGATGCAGGAAAGTGTAGGGAAGATTGAGGTTGATATGAAACTTAAGCAGAAGCAACTGAAAAGTCATTCTGAGATATTAGAGATTTTAATTGAGGATTCTAAACTTCAGATTTTAATGTGCGAATCAGACTCAAAGGATAGAAATAATATTGGATTATATGGGGTTGAGCAATCATCTAAAGCAAAACCAAAAACATCAACTGCAGTTTCTCCGATAAAACTAGATAAAAATTGAGCAAGTTGAAATCAAAACCCTCTTCTCCTCACCAAAGTAATTTTAATAACAACCATAGACATTTAAACTAGCTTGTCTGCTTTACCAAGAATCAAAAATCCAACACAAGGGAAATTCTTACTCAGTCCAACAATTCCTCACATACAGGCTTCAAAACCTAACCTCCCTCAAGCCGCCACCCCAAAAAGTCAAAATCAACATCACCAAAAAGCGCCCTACCTCTCCAATCCCATCCAAAATCCCTAAAATCCCTCGCTTACCCCTCTCTCCATCCCATAAAATCGCTCACAAGTATCCTCTCTCTAACCCCTCTAGCCAAAGCACATCTCCTGCCCCTCAAAGGACACTTTTCTCTAACGAATTGCTCACTTTATTCTCTCCAAACACTACTTACAACCAAGCTTTACTATCCCCACCCAGGAGCCCTGTCCAGTTTAAGCCTACTGTTCCTTACCTTCGGATCAATAGGGCAGTCAGGCCTGCCCACAGGCACGCCCAGTCCCTCTACGAACAGAAAGGAAAGAATCAAGTCAAGCATAAAGGACATTAATCTAAGAAGCAAGCATTTTGAAGGCAATGGGAAAGACAGAGGAGGAAGATAAGCCTGTGTAGGGTAAGTAGCTTTTTATGTGAGCGAAGATAAATGAGTACGATAAGCCTTCAATATAAGTTTGGAGAAAAGGGGTTTTGGGGTTTTGGGGTTTTGGGGTTTTGGGGTTTTGGGG